TGTATGTATGTATGTATGTATGTATGTGACACACACAAGGCATTGAATGTCCTGCACTAGCACTCTCTGCCTTATTTCCTTGAGACAGAGTCTCGTTGAATCTGGAGCTAGACTGCTATCAGCAAGATCCAGTGATCTTCCTAGCTCCACCTCCCAAACAGCACTATAGATACAGGCACACAGACAGCCACTCCTAGCTTTTTCCCATGAGTGCTGTGATCTAAACTGAGGCCCTTATACTTGTGCAGCAAGCGCTCTTACCCACTGAGCCATCTCCCCAACCCCTATTTTCTGTTTTTTTCCTCAACGGTGGGAAGTGATGTCCCATTGGAGTCTTGAACACCTCTTTGTATATTTATCAACCATTTTCTTACCTTCTTTAGGGAAATGTCAGCTGAAGGCATTGCTCTTATCACCTTGTTTTTTTTGTGTGTGGGTGAGTTGTAATTCTTTGTTTCCTGCCTATCATTCTCGAGCGCTATGATTTGCATTTCTGTTCTGTTTTAAAGTTGCCTTTCACTCTGTTGATGTGTGGGGTTTTTTATTTTGTGTAAGTTTGAAATAATTATAGATTCCCAGGAAGTTGCAAAACTTGTACTAAGCAGGCCTGTGCGCTCCTCACCCAGTTCCCTCTAGAGGGGCATGTTGTGTATGTTCTACAGGCTCAGTGCTGGAGCCCAGAGTTTGCCAGCTGTGCAGTGTGTCTAGTTCCATGTCTTTAGTTTCACTCAACCCTAAGCCTTCTGAAGCCCATTCCCTTTGAAGGAGGGGCCACGCCCTGTGCCCTCCTTATCTGTTGAGGTGGCAGTGGAGGCGGCTTGATTAAATACACATTTGCTGTCACACATTGCCCTGTCAGCCCTCACTTGATTTGAGGATCTGCCTGTCACTGCTCTCTCACAGATATGGGCTGCTGTTCATCTTACATCCTTCCAAGCCTGGGGCAGAGGATGTCAAATGAGTAAGTACAGTCACATGACCCATAGCCAGCCCCTCTCTCATCTCCTCTGAAAATGTTGAGATGTCCCAGGGCTTATGGGTCCAACTCTGGGCACCTGTGGTGCAGTGGAGCCATGTTGATGGCCCCTGGTGCATTCTGTTCATGTCAAGTGATGGGTAAGACAGCCTGGCTACCTGCCCTTCTCTGTGCTATGGCCCTCAGCCTCTACCTCACTGCCCTTGTGCTGTTTTGCCTGACCACTCAGCACTTAGGGGAATTTCCTGGAGGAGAAGCATTGGGTTTGTGGTAAGTAACACCCCAGAGTTCTACAGGCTCAGACCTGGCCAGGCACACTGGCTGTCATACATACCTCTGTGCACAAATTGACAGGGAGGTTATAATGGCAATGGAACCCCTCTTGAGTAGGGTTCGCTGGTGAAGTGTGGCTTCCTTTCTAGGCCAGTGCAGTGGCTGGCAGGCTGTGACGCATGCCTGCCTTTTTCCTGGGCTCAGCAGTTTGGGACACTGTTGGTCACTTTTAGTGACATATATGTGCACAGTCCTGCAGGGGAGCCCTGTGGTCTTAATGTGAACCACACCCTGGAAATGGCATGTGTTGTGGAATAAATACTGCCCCTGCCTCCCAAGATATACCCACATCTTAACCCTGATACTTGTGAATGGGACCTTATGTGGAAACAAGGTTTTTGCAGATGTCATTAAAGTGAATCATCCTGGAAAGGCCATTAGCACCAGCCAGGGGCTATCAGGAGCCAAAGGGCCAGGAAGAGCCTCCCCTAAAGCCTCAGGAGGAAGCAAGGCCTGCTATACCTGGATTTTGCATTTCTGGTTCCAGATAAAGCAGTCTGTTGTTTTCAGACTTCCAGTTTGGGTGTAGCAGCGGTGAGCTAACCTATACCCACCCAGTTGGCCAGCATCCCCAAAGTCCTCTCATTCTCCTTGCTCTTACTGTGTTACCCATTGCAGCACCACAGGTTAGTTTATGACACCCGGTTGGATGAGTGGAATCACAAGAGCTCACCTCTGCATGTGGCTCCTGTGACTCACAGTCTACTGGAGGGTTCTGGGTACCAGTGTTGCACTGTAATGGCTGTTGGATAAGATACAGTGTGCCTATGCATTGCAGGAAATATAGTAAGTTTTAAAATATATGTATGAGCTGGGTGTGGTGGTGCACGCCTGTAGTCCCAGCACTTGGGAGGCAGAGGCAGGCGGATTTCTGTAAGTTCAAGGCCAGCCTGCTCTACATAGTGAGTTCTAGGACAGCTGGGGCTACAGGGAGACCCTGTCTCAAAAAAGACCAAAAAAAAAAAAAAAGTATGAATGTTTTTTTGCCTGTGTGTATGTTACACGTGTTACAATGCCCACAGAGACCAGAAGAGGGTGTTGGAATCCCTGGAACTGGAGTTACAGACATTTATTAGCCATAATGTGGGTGCTGGGACCTGGGTCTTCTGCAAGAGTAGCCAGTGCTCTTAACTGCTGAGCCATCTCTTCAGTCCTGAAATCAAGTAACTTTAATGCTTATTGTTAATGTCTATTAATGCATTATTGGAATGTGCTTGTAGTCAAAAGTTACTTGTGTTTTTTGAAGTTCAGGTGCAACCAGAGTCCTATGCTGTCATCCTCCATGGTGGCTATTCCCAACAAGGTAGAGAGGGTGGCCTGCTTATACAAAGCCTCATGGCACAGCTTGCCTGCTCTAGCATGCCTGGTGTAGTGAGTCTGTCTTCTCTGAGTGGGACTGTGGCAGGGCTGAAGGGGACCCCTCCAAGTGTGTCTACCTTGCTCTACCTAGCCTGTGTGAGTGAGGTAGACCCTAGTAACTAAAAAGAAAGCAGCCTGACAGAGTAGTCCCCAGTTATCCAACCCCCCCAAGTGCAAAGTCCAGAAGCAGATATGACCTGGGGGCAGAATGTATCCCCTTCAGGTGACCATCCTCCCAGATGAAATGGTTTAAGTGTATATGTCACCTCAGCTGGAGCTCCTTCCTCTTGTGACTCAGGGCAGAGTTTGCCAACCAGAACCACAGATGTGAGTTGGAGATGCTTTGTTCATCTTCCAGGGTGTGAGCCTGAACCTGTGGGTGGGTGTGTGCACAGAGAGCTGGGACAGGTGGCTGGGGATCTGACTCCCTGTGTCCTGGCCCTCAGGATGCCTTCCTCACTTCTATCACTCTGTGTTGTAGCTGGAGTCAGTAATAGCGTTAACCTGTGATGAGCCACTGGAAGGAGCCCCAGGCTATGTTAAACCAGTTCGCACATACATGTAGCTGTGGGATGCCTCTGAATCTCAGTTTACTGCATGCCTAGAAAGTGGGGCAGCTTCACAGACAGGTCCTGTGTCCTCCTTGCTGCAGTGGAGGAAGAGCCCTTGACCATGTGTCTGGTGGTGAATGTGGGAAGTGTCCACCTATCTGTAGCTCCAGGTCTCAGGGTCCTGGGTGTTAGGAGCCTCTGCAGCGGGTTCTGAGGATGCAGTTGTAGGGGTCATAAATGGCTATTGGCTGGGAAGGACAAGTTCTCAAAGCTTGTTGTGACACTGAAGGCATGATATGTTCAAGGAGGCAGGATCTCCTCCTGGACTTCAGGGGCCTCAGGCCCAGAAACTTCCTTCTTGGCTCTGATTTTCTCACCTATGTCTGTTGTTATGGTACTTACCTAGGGTGGGGACAGGGGTAGGTGAGGACCAAGCCCCGGGCTGCTGGTGATCTACCCTTGTGCATCAGCTGCATTTTGTTTACATAAGAAGTACTTGGAAGCTGGAGAAATGGTTTGCCAGTTAAGACCTCATACTGCTCTTGCAGGGGACCTAAGCTTGGTTCCTAGCACCCATGTCAGGTGGCTTTACAATTGCCTAAGATTCCAGGTTGTCTTTAGCCTCCACAGGCACCTGCAGTCCTATGTATGTGCCACACATACAAACATATGTGTAATTAAAAAATAAAAATCGTTTAACCGGGCATGGTGGTGCACACCTTTAATCCTAGCAGAGGCAAGCGGATCTCTGTGAATTCAAGGCCAGCCTTGTCTACGTAGTGAGTTCCAGGACAGCTGGGGCTACAGAGAGACCCCGTCTGAAAAAGCCCAAAAAAAAAAAAAAAAAAAAAACGCGGGAAAAAAAGAGACCGTGGGGCCGGGTTGGACTTTTTT